CCGGGGTGGCCATTCCTCAACAAACAGTCCCACAATGCAGACCTGTCGACATAATCGAAGGCAGCGCGGATATCCAGGAACACGACAATCATTAGTTTTTGCTACACATGGTGGAGCTCGAGGATTTGGCGGTGTGAAGATTTGATCGATGCAGCCATGGACTGGGTGGAACCCAGCCTGTTCTTCCCGTTGTAGCGATCTGCGCCTTGGAGATAGCGTTTGAAGTATGATGGACACCAGAACCTTAAAAACGACGGGAACCAAGCTGATACCACTGTAGTTGGAGCACAAGGTGCGCAAATCCTTTTTGAAGATGGGGAGGACTATCGATGGAACCTCTTCTTTCAGCCAGATTTCTGAGAACAAATCAATAAGTTCGCGAACCAGCTAAAAGCTGCCATCTTTAAATAAGACCTGGTGATTTATAGAGCTTCAAGAGACGAGTTCCTGCCAGATTTCCTGGTGAGAAGGAGGATCTGTGGGGAAAGACCACTCAGCACCAGTGAGCGTTCTAGGGAGAGCAGATGGGGCTGGTGGCCAGCAAAACCGCGAGCCAAAGTGTTCAGCCCATCAGTGATTAGTGGGCCATCCTCTTTGCAGATCGATTCGCTTACTCCAGGTCGGAAACCTTCGGTGGCTCGGATAAGACGGAAAAGATTTCTGATATTATCAGAAAGACTAGCAAGTTTCATATCTCTAGCACGTTCACACCACCAGGTTTCACGGTCCTTTTGTAGACTCCTGCGCAATTCTCGATCTAGGAATTGTCGTTCTTCACTACAGCTAGAATCGGCCAAGACCGAGCGGCGTCTTTCCATCGGCGACAAGGAAACATAAGTGATCCAACCTTTCGGCGGGTGATAGGTGACTCCGCAACTACCAATGCTATCAGGAACTAAAGCATTTTTGATGCGCGTCCACTGTGAATTCAGATCATCAGCAGAAGCTGGGGTAAGCAGTGTTGACAAGGAGGCCTAGTATTTGGCTAACGTTGTAAGGTCTTGTAAGTTTTCTACGCTCGGTCGGTAATGCGTAGACCTAGGCGGTCCTCCGAAACGCATGCATAACTTAGCGCGAACCAATGCGTGATCGGAATCCAGACAAGTTGGGCGGTACGAACGGCAGTCTGATACGCTTCCGAGCCATCCGTAACTTATCGCGATGTGGTCAAGCTGGGACCACCCTTGTGTTTGAGAAAGCTGGCGCCAGGTAACAGTCTGTCTCTTCGAGTGTCGAAAACTGGTGTTCGAAAGAAACAAGCGATGACCGACAGCTACCGAAGCCAAAACTACCCCCAAGATGGTGCTCGCTTGGTGTCAGACGGCTCGCTTGTGCAGTTAAGTCTACGGCAAGAGTGGCAATACCAGACGTTTTAGCGGAACGCAGGTCATGTAGTTGTCGGTAAAAGCAATCCTTGACTGCATCCCGGCTACAGTTTGTAGGAGTGTAGGCGGATGTGATAAATAAAGTGCGTGTAACAGCTCGACGCTTACTTAACTTACATGAACCTCAAACTCCGACTAGGATCCAGTGAAGCAGAGAGAAATCAGCCTGGTCACTCAGAGCAACCCCAACACCAGCCTGGCCAGAAGCGACAGTCTCTGGGTCACCGGATAGGCGCAAATGGTATTTGACGTCAGGGTTTGCAGGAGGCCATTCTGATGACGGTAGTGGAGTCTTGCAATCTAGTTTCTGAGAGGCAACAGATGTCTACCGAGAGCGTCTCAAGAGTGCGGGTCAGGCATGCTTGCCGTCCGATCTGTATCAGAGTGCGAACATTGAACGCTGCGAAGTTGAATGGAGAACCAGGTCGAAGAAAAGCTGGAGCTTCGGTGGAGTGTGAAAAGGCTGTGGTCGCCGGACATCGGAGATCAAGAGTTCGACTCTGACTTCAGTCAGGTGCGACCAGCGAGCTGCTGTTGGCGGTGACCGGGGAGAATATAACTATAGTTGAATAATGGGACGTGGGACGATCTGTGAGTGGAGGTTCAGCAGTAGGAACAGTGGAGTAGGTAGACATAACAAGAGAGAAAGCAGTAGTATTGTCCCTTCATGATTCCTCAGTAGGCGCGATACCACCCGGTCGCCCAGGCCAAAGTAGAAAGCTGTCTTAAGGGGTCCTACCCCGAGCTTTTGATTAAGGATCTAACCTACAAGGCAGAAGGGCGATATGACGGCGTCGCAACCCGTTGGGAGGCGATAACCAAACAAGTGGTTCATACGTCTTTAGGTCCTGCAAGGGACAAGAGGCGCAACACTCCCTGAAGTTACAATGCCACTTAGGGAGAGGCAAGAGGCAATGACTGCATTTAATGGCGAGTCACATCCGCCACGTCAGTGTTGTTAAGCAGACATATGTGGCTTTCTATACGGAGAACGTTTGCCAAGGCGAAAACCCACCACGTCCTGGAACACTGCCGCAGAAGCACTTGCTGAAGCGAGATAATCCCGAACAACCCAGCTGGCACCACGTTGTTCGGTCAACCAGGATGAGGGGTATAGCGGGCCAGTTCGCCTGAGTGACATGCGTCGGCTCTCGGTCTTCGATGATAGGTGCTTGAGGAGGATTGCTGGTGTTTGATGGCAGTAAGGTTTCTGCAGCAGTGAAGTCAGACGTCGTGTCTTAGGGAATGCGAGTATTCACCTCCAAAAGCTGGTTTCGCCGCGTTGGTTAAGATGGCCCGGTCACGTCCTGCGTATGGCAGCTGAGCGTTTGCACTATTGTGCTCTTTTCGCTTGTGCAGGACTTGGCTGGAAGGGACCACGTGGTGAGCAACAGTCCACTTGGCGACAGCATATGACATCATTGACGTCTTGCTGCCGTTGGATCCACACGTCTGCCTGGGGGGACCAAAAGACGAAGAGTGCCGATGGCTGAAAACAACTCAGGATATGGCACGCAATCGAAATCAGTGGAGGATCTGTGTACATAATCGTTTAGATTAAGATGCTTAATGCTTAAAAATTGAAAAAGGAAAAAACAAGAGTTCCGTTCTTCTTGTTGCACTGTAGTCAAAGCGCGTCGCTTAGTTTCAGCTAATGTGCCATGATGATGATGCGTTGAGTAAACCTGTATTCTTCCAGTGATTGACATGGTTTTGTTTTGCTCAATATCTATTCGTTAGACTGTTGCCAATACTACTACTATGGTGGGCCACGATGAGTATATTTGTTGGTCACAGCAACAAATAGGACAGAGCAATTGCGTTGGTTCAGGCACGTGTAATAAATTTAAGTAACCATTCCGTTTAGCAAACCGAAGATGGAGTGGGGTGCGACGTGATCGAGTACCGGAAAGGCGTTAGGAAGTGACTGTGTCGAACGGTATTATCTCGCTCAGCTTTCCAGAACGGGAAGACTGCGACCCACCTTACGGAACATGGCTAGCAACGGGCGTCCGTGGCGTGAGTGTTATCGTTTCCAAGCCAGACAGTCTAGTCTGATGCGAGCTATTTATGGAGCAAATTTAGCAAGGTACAGCAGTAAGGAGAGTGATTCACCAATACCGTCTTACATCTACATAACACTCAGCTATTTGTGATGATACGCTGTCGACAATGTGCAGGCACCTTGAAACTGCTTGTGGTTAATGCACTCAAGCCAGTCATACATTGTTCCCCATGACGTGTCCTTGTTATTCATCATCAGGAGTGTGGTTTAAGCAAAAAGCGCTGATGTGATGCTGCTAATAATGACGATAGGTGAGGCCTTATCCTGCATGAGAGCAATGAAAATGCGAAATACGAAAAGCACCAATATTTCAATGGTGACACCCATCCCAGTCAAGAGGCTTTGCTTGAGAATTTTCGCCTTTGGCAACTGACTCAAAGCAGAGGGGTCAAATGTTGCATGATACGGCGCAGAATAACCAGGTCGCCTGAAGGGCTTTGGTGAGGTGGGGATCAGTAAGAGGATTGGACCAAAAAGACAGCTAGTCTCAGTGACTTGACAATATAGCGAATGGGACCTATTGCGTTACTGTGCATTCGCTCGGGATGGGTGAATAATACGGATGAGTTGTAAATCGAATGATTCTCACCCTAAAGTCTGTGATTTTAGAGGACGCGTTGTGTTGATACAGCATGATGTGCAGACAATGGATGCAATAGCACGAATAAGCTCTTAAAACTGCCTAACTCACAGTTAGAGAAGTGAATAGCTTTGCTTTTAAGCTTAGCTGCACTGAATTTCGTGGTCAATTCGCCGAAGAATACGATGAGCACTGTTGATGTAAGCCTAGATTTCCAAGTTTAAATCACAATGGATATGGCAAGAGAGCAACAAAGGGGCCAGCAGTAGAATGTATAAATTTGTCGCGCAGCAATCGTTAGCATACGAAACGGGGAAAAGGAAAGTCAGTGTTGAAGACCCTGTGGGACTGGTCGCATGCGGTCACCGATGTCTGAAAAGTACCTGGTGGTAGCATCGGGGTTTGGTCACCCGTTGCATTCAACTACCTACGTGTGATTAGGGTGCTTGCTAGCAGGCTATCGTGCTGTCCACCGTGTGCTAATTATGCGCCTGGGTGAGTGGAGTCGACAATATGGTGAAACGGAACAGGATGAGTTGGATAAGTGAGCAGTTTATCTAGGTGGGGACTTTGGGAACTCTCACACTTGTGGTGCATGTACCCATTTCATTGGTTTGGGCAGACAAGTACTTCAACTAAACAGTGACATTTTAACTCTGATTCTTTTTCGCTTACATTGTGCTGGATAGTTGCACTTCTCCGCCATTCCGCATTAAGGCAACATGAGCCACTGTAACGGGGTCCATTGCGCCGGAGCAGTCACGTTCCCGTCTTAGAGTGCATCGAAGCTCAACTCAGTCGATGATATGCAAGACACCAGGTGATGCAGAGTGCGGGGAATACCCTTCAACCGGATTTTATGAATAGCATTAACAACCAAAAGACAGAAAAGTGTGAAACTCGTTGTGGCAACGGCATACACCACATGGAAAGCGCGTGAAAACAAAACGATAAGGAAGCACGAACTTACTTTGCGTGCTTGAGACGACATGCTTCGGAGCAATAGCGTTCGCCAGGAATCGGTGCTAACATACACGTTGGGCCGGCACAATGTGGCAGGCTAGAAATAATGACATCGTCGTCCGAGTCATCTTCCAGAAGGTCCATCGCGTCACCCGCGGCTAAATGAAAATGGTTAAAAATAGTTCTATGGTGAGATAGCCCAAGACAGCCACATATGGAGAAGATACTTCAGGCACGCTATTTTAATTAAAAAGGATACTGCAAGAGTGACAAGAGCGTGTTACCGTGATTCAAACAACTGGTGAGACAAACAAAAAGTTTTGCAAAGAAGCAAATCGTTGAATGATTTACTAAGCAGTAATTAGGTTAATAAAGAGATGTGATGTGATATCACTTCCAACCTTCAGCAGAGGGGACAATAAAAGTTTACACTGTCATTGTACGTTGAGTTATCTGACAAGGAAGATCGCTCAAATCAGCATCTGGTTACCTACTGTTAACAGAGGAAGAACAACGATGTGCGTAAAGAACGAATTATTCAATAAGGACGACGGGCGCTACACATAGCTCGGTTTGGTTGCTAGCAGGCAAAATGTTAATGGGCGGATGACCCGGCATAAAGTGCCACGAGTTCGAAGATGTGGTAGCTTTCGATGAAATGCGGTGGGACATCGTTCAGGTGAATGTGCAAATGCCGTTAGTGCAGTCGAAAAAATTCAGTGAAACGTTACATGCCGGGCAGTGAGAATGCTCATAAGTTCAGAATAATCAGGTGTGTTAAATTAGTCGCCTTGAAGTGCATCAGGATTCTATAGGAAACTGTTTGATCAATTATTGGTGGTTCTGGAAAAGTGGTGCATAGCTCAATCGTTCAGAGATCACTATGAAGAAAACTAAGTGCCCTTGCGACGAACAGAGCCCAAGTAAGTACAGTCATCTACACTGAATAACCAAGACGAGACCTGGCCTGGAGCACCGGCATGAAGGTGAAAAAAGCCAAGCAGAGAATGGTGAAAGGAGCTGAAACCTGGAGTCGCGATACGGGTGGTAGCTTCAAGTAATGAACAGCAGGTACAGTGAGTGGCTGCAGTAGGATGACAGACCCGTGGTGCAACGATTCGGAGTCTTCAAAAATGACGGATCATCTGCTACAAATAATCATTCAGTTCAGTTAGACAAATATGACCCAAGTACATAAGCAAAGTACATCCAGTTGCAATGACTCACGTCGACAGGTTAGCAAAAACCAGTGGTAATGCGTGAATGAGATATGTTCAATGGAGTCTCCAACTACTGAGATAGAAAATCCCGACACTCCAAGCCTCGAAGACGGCATGCACCAAGTCTCTTAGTCATGTTCTTCATGCCTTTTTGCCACCTCATCCACTAACCGCCTTGTGGTTTCGCTCAACTTGGTAAAGGGACGGCGTATAATGAACAACGAGGAAGACGGTCAAACGGCACACGGAAGAAATGACTAACACATATCAGATTACTAAGCTTAAGCAAACACATCATTGAGGAACATGAGGATTACAGCACTGCTCACTCATTAATACCGGACGTGAGAAATATCCAGCAGGCAACAGTGGTCAAGTAGGATCAGACGATCAATGTCCTCAATCAATAACAGTAGCACATCAGCAATTTGGACTGATACTTGGCTGCCATACAACCACAACGACCGACTGAACGAAAAAGGATAAGATAAAGAGAAGGGGGACTTAATGGAAAAACCTTATTCCTCTAAACAAACACTCAGGGTCAAAGCGCCTACACTTTGTCAACAACATGCCATCACAAACAGCTGGCATCGGCGAGACAACAGTCTTGCGGCTTTCACTGCCCCGCGTCTTAATCAGTCATTACCCCGCAGATAACTCAGCACCAAGCACAAGTTAAACAGGCAGTCCGACTATGATACGACAGCAGACGCACCATTGGTGTCGACTGCGAGCAATGTCCTGTAACGTCTCGAACCGAACACAAGGCAAGTCACGTGGACCCCCGCCTGGAAGACAAGACGGACCGACGGCACTACGTTTGGTCTTCAGTAACTTCATTTCTCGCTGCCAAGTTATATTTTTCCTACCTACGGGGCTTGTGCCACCCTACATCTGGCAGACAAAACAAGACCCTCTTCGGTAATCGGTGATCAGGTATTCGTAGTATGTCCCCAAACGAATGCAACTTATACAGTGCTATCTGTTGTTCTGAAGACCTAGCCTCGTGATCACCGCCTACTACGCGCCTAGGCACATCATCGTTGCGGACACACTGGGGCTACCCGGTACCTGCGATGTTCAGGGACTTGAAGGCGCCTAAGAACTTCAGACCGAAGAGGTCGTCGCACTCCCATAGAGTAGGACGACCCTCACTGTGGCTTTGTAAACACGGTCTTTAAACGGAGTGAAACCCCTTACCGTCGTCAAAGACGTCGCAAATTCAAACAGGCGGACCTGGCTTCTACAATACGTGAACTGACCTCAGTAACTATGCACCATCGTTGCTGATACAGCTGCCAAGTCAAGTGAGTTGATCAAATGCCTCTAGTTCCTCACTGTTTAGGGTCAAGGTGTCATCAAACAGCTGGTGCTCCTGCAACAACATTTTGAAGGTGCGAAGCGCATAGCAAATAATGGGACCACTCTAGATGGCTATTCAGGGTGGATTGTGCCACCGCAACATCGCCAAAAAGCAAGACGATGTCTTCCGCATACTCAAGGTCAACTAGCTTTTCACCAGGCAGCACTTCAACGCCTGCATCAAGAGGTTCCGCAAGAGAACAATCCCTGTTGCAGTCCACGACGAAATTGAATAAAGTGGGGAAATTGGACAACCCTGATGAACGCCACTTGTTGTCAGAAAGCTATCCGACTAGTCACTGTAGACTCTGACGTGGCCTGTAGTGTTCGAATACAGAGCACGTAAAGTGTTCAGATATTTTGTGGGAACAACTTTTCGCATAAGTATTTCAAACAAAATGCATCGACCGACTGAATCGAACGCACTGTTACAATCGAGGAACACAGTTATTGTCGGTATGCGAGGCGCTGCTTTAATACCTGCTGCAAATTGAATATGTGCTCTATACAACCACGCCTTAGGCGAAAACCTGTCTGCTCTTCCCTAATCCGGGATTCCCGTTCTTCAGTGCGACGATGAACGACTGTTAGCATAATACCCCTTGTGATTAGCACAGTCGGTGCGACTGCCCTTATCTATTGCCACTATGATCGATTCACTCCAGTTAGCCTGGACGGTCTCCTCCTTCCATACATGTTCGAATAGGGAAGTCAGTGCTTTGCAGAGGACCTCACCTCCATCATTAAATACTGCAGGTAGCATGGAGTCCGGCTCAGCGGGACGAAAACGATTGAGGGCTGTGATCATGTTTGGGATCTCAGCCTCCGATAGAGCCTCTAACAAAATCGTTCATGGCCCATCGTGCATCACCTGAGTAGGAAGAGTTCTGGAAGTAGGGACGCAACTGGATTGATGTTGAAAGTGTTCCGCCCAACGAGCCACATGGTGCTCCTTATTGTGAATCAGAGCACACGCACTGTCTCTGACTGTCTCACTGACGCCTGGTTTCCTGGGACCATTAGTGTGGATCAACTGGAAGAGTTTGCGATTGTTCCTCCCTACTGCTCCCGTCTCCTTCATTTTTGAACCCGTATGGTCCACCAAACTTCCTTGTCAGCGTGCAGTTTCCGCTTTAGCCCGCGTCTAATAGTCCATCTAGTCACGTACCCAGAGCCAGCAAGGAGGATTTTTCTAGATTCCAACAGGTTCACTGACCTCCCAGATATCCAGTGACTGGTGCGGTGACGATTAATAGTACCACAAGCCGATGCTCCTGCGTCGTGCGTGGCGACAGAGATCTTATTCCACTGAAGCTCAGTGTCAATAGGACAAGGGAGTGAAAGTTCGGTACGCAGTGCAGCTTAGTGGGCTTGCTTGATTGAGGTCTGGGATGATTTCTCAGTTGCCAATTAGAAGAGACGGTTTGTGCGCCTCCCGGTAAAGTACATGGAAACGCGACAGCAGACCAAGGCATGAGCAGAGTCGACGCAAGTAACCCAGAACGAGCGACAATCCAGGATGGAACTGCGCCACCTGTAACTTATGGCAATGTGATGTATCTGGATGCATCGCTGGCTAGCTACATGAGGACGCCTAGTGGAACTTCCACGTCCACTGTGTCTAAAAGCGGTGCTACTAAGAAATAGCTGGTGTCTCGCACACAGTTGCAAAAGACGCTCGCCGTTGTCCGTACGATCGGAGTCAAACCCATAATCACCAACCAGCTGAGCTTCTGAAGAGTCCAGGCGACCTACTTGTGCATTCATATCTCCTGCATGTACTATGATATCTGAATTGGTAGTACTGGGTATTAGCGCGTTCAGTTCGTGAGAGAAAGTGTCCTTGGCAACATCAGCACTGCAGTCGGAGGGAGCGTAAACGGAGACCATAAACAAACAGCGTCTTTTACTACTTCGTGAATCAGCCTTGGTCGATGTCGTCAAATGGGCTGTTCATCGGAATTCAGTCAAAACAACCAGGATTCAGCCTCCCGGCTGAATACGATACCTACCCCAGCTTGACCAAAGGCTGCCGCATTAGTGTTCCCTGATGCGCGCAAGCAATTGCGAGAGGACAAGCCGGACGCAGTTAATTCAACAACTCCATGATGGTCATTGATCCTAGTTTCGTCTATGCAACACGTCCATACCCAGTGTGTCCCACGTGCGTGCGAGTGCAGCCTGTTGACCTATTTGTCTTAGAGTGGGAACGTTGAACGCCGCCTGGGAAACGGCACAGTGTGGCCTTGAAGGAACTGTTACTGATAGGCGTCCAGTGGGTGGTGCGGGAAAGTAGCTGCAGATGGTTCGACTCCAGTAGCATTACGGCTGCTGTCTATTAGGCTGCGAAGTATATAAGGAAGGTTAGTAATGGGGTTGGGTAGGGAGTAATAGAAACAGGTGGAAAAGACAGAAAGGAGGCACCAGCGGCAGCATGTTTTCGCTTATTCGCCCTGCTGTATGCAGCAGATAAGGTGACCCTTGGTAATCTGCGCGACGGCCGATACAGGATGTAGTTAGAGTTGGAGGAAATGGTCATGGTTGTACGTGGGCTGAGATACTGCCAGGGCACC